TGACTTCAAATCATACTTTTAATGAACATTAAAAAAAAGTGAAAATTGGTGAAACCCATTCTTCCCTTCAAATCCTACTGACAAAAGAAAGTGAAAATTGGTGAAAATGAGGCTTCCATGGGTTAAAATAGGGTTTGAATGGAAGAACAAGTCGAGTCAATTAGGATCAACATGTTTAGGTGGGTTTTTTTCGTATTTAATGATTCCTTGAGTCTACGTAGGGAAGTCGGGATTGAAAATTATTCCCTTTCTTCTTCCTTCCATTACTGGTAAGTAAACATGCCAACAGTGAGTCAAGTCAAATCAAATCCTAACTTGAACAAACAAAATATCTTTGAATTTGATTGAGGAATTAACAAACTTGCCGAAAGGGGCATATTGACACGCATTGGAAGATTAGAGGAGTTCAAACTTAAATTCAAATTTCATAGCGTAAAGTGAAACAAGGTCCATAAAAAAATTCAAAAATATAATAAAAAATTTATTTCTTATCAAAAGGAAATAGTTTTAATCGTAAAATATATTTTTCCAAAAGCAGAAAATGCAAAGTAGAAAACAAGGCTCGCAGATGGCGCTGAAACTTTAGAATTCCAACATGCAAATGCCAAAGTTTTTCCTATTAATAAAAAAAAAGGGAATGCCAAAGTTTAAAGCTTCCTCCTTGAAAAGCGTACCATCACCGCGTCTTTGATTTTCTTTCTTTCTTTCTCTCTATTTTATTTTTATTTTTATCTTTTCTATGGTCAAGCCTCCTAGTTCATATTTTACTCTTTCTTCTTTCTTTTTTCCTTATTCCAACTTTGTTTGTTTTATTTTTATTTTTAATAGACCGCGGTCTTTGCCTCTTTTGGTCTAAAAATCAGTTTCTTCTTGGGAGTTTGAAGTGGTCTTATCAAACTTATTATTGGTTTGGGATTCTTATGGTTTGTTTGGATTGGAATTGACAGATGGAATCCTTACAATTAAATAACATTTCGTAACACTAAGTGCTCATTCATTTATTTTATTTTTTTATTCAACAAAGATTTTATTTTTACGCATATAATTAAGAACATCTACAATCACGCTCTCTATCTTTTAGTTAAAATTTAGCTAAAATTATATAAAAACTATTTTAGGAGCTCTCTATAAAATTTTAACTCCAACCATACTCTCTAGTTTAAGGAGTCATAAATGCTATAACTATTTTTTAATTGATTCATCTCTAAAATAATAATAATAATAATAATTAGCATTAACTAAAGATTTAAAATAATCATAAATAAAGCAGCATTAAATTATAAGGAGCTACTATGAGTCCTTTCTCTGTCTTCAAATTTAGGAGCTCCTAGAAGTCTCCCTATTTTAAGAGGTGGATATGAAGCATGGTTCAAGTTGTATTTTTCCTATTCTTCTTTAAAATTTGTCTAATGAGGTGATTTAAGGAGCCCATTATGAATGCTCTAAGAGCATCCACAATCATGTTCTCTATTTTTAAGTTAAAATTTATCTAAAAACATATAAAAGTTATTTTAGGAGCTCCCTATAAAATTTAAACTTCAATCAGACTCTCAAGATTAGGGAGCCATAAATGTTATAACTCTTTTTTAATTGGTCAATCTCTATTAAAAATATTATAAAAATATTTAGAATTAATTAAAGGTTTGAAATACTCATTAAATAAACCAACATTAAATTATAGGGAGCTACTATGAGTTCTTTCTCTATCCTCAGATTTAGGAGCTTCTAAAGGTCTCCTTATTTTAGGAGGTGGATAAAGAGCATGGTTGGAGTTGTATTTTTCCAATTCCTCCCCAAAATTTGTCTAAAGAGATGCTCTAAGAACAGTGACCTTCCTTTCTTAACCCAATAATATGCTCTCTCTCTCTCTCTCTCTCTCTCTGGGTTCAAAACCCTTTCAAGATCATTAAATGAATTTCTAACAAATAAACTACCTAATGAGAAAATCATGTAATTAAATTTGAACTCTAATGAAATATAAAGTAATGATACTTTACAGTCCCGTTCTTTTGGATCATAGAAGTCCAAGAAACTTGTGGTTACCCACCCTTGAATATAATCCAAAGGTTCATAAAAACTTACTTTAAAAAATCTATTTTCTTTTACTTTTTAAATTTAAGTTTACAAAAAAATTTAAAAACTAAAAACCTAAAATATCTCAACGTGTTCTTCCTCCCATTGTTGTCGCCACAAGACCTCCAACTTCGGTATACCCAAAAGTTGTGAACGTATTCTTCTTCCTTCCATTGTTGCCTTTCAATTCTCTGGTTCAGAAAAGGTCCAAGTCAAGTTTTCACTCCTAGTGGATCATTCTGTAGTTTCTGATTGATTTGTGTTCCTCTGTTGATATGTTTTAATTTTTTCCCAACCGTAGCAAAGCATGTAATTGGTTGGTTTGAATGGGTTGAATTCCTATAGGTAGATAATATGATAAACACATGCCAATAATTGGTTGAATTTGGTTAATTCGAAGCTCCTTTACAAGAGAGAAATCTTCATTGAAGTCTTGAGAAGTTGATTATTTTACAAGTATGCTATTGGTTGTGGTGTGTTCATATGTATGTAATTGAGAACTGAAAATTATAAATGAATTTTGGGAGGACGGGCATAGTGGGTACGCCGGAGTCAGAGTCAGAGGAAGGCAGCGATAGGAGGACGCAAAATTTTTTCACAACCTATATGTATATGTAGGGAAATATGTTTAGTTGGTTAAAAGAAATTAAAAAGTAGGCTAAAAGTCACTTTTGGTTCCTGTAGTTTGACACTTCAACCACTTTTGATTGCAATGAATTAATTATTTCAACGCTTGTTTCTTTAACTAGAGTATGTATATTTAATTTGACAATAATTTTTTTTTGGTAGTATAAGTCTAAACTACAGGGGAGAGAGGTTTCTCACAGACACAACAACTAAGATGTCATGAGGGTTTGAACCTGAGACCTCTGGTCTGCAAATCAATACCCTTTTATACTGGATTAGACCTCGTTGGCGACAAATTTAGTTCTAAAAGTAATATTACAGGTTAGCATTTAACCATTTATGTTTCGTTTTGTTAGATGAAAAAAGAAGAGAAAAGTAGGAAGAAATATAATAATGGTGTAAACTATATGATATGGCCTTTTATGTTTTGTTTTGTTTTTTGTTTTATGATAATGTTTTGTTTTTTTTTTCGTTAACGGGGTCTAGTCCAATGAAAAAAGGCATTAGTTTGCATACCATAGGTCATAGATTTGAATTCCCATGACATCTTGGTTGTGTTTGTGTGAGAAATCTCCATCCTGTGTAGTTTAGACTTGCTTGTACTAAGAGAAATGTTTTGTTTTTTTTTAGAAAGAAAAAGAAGAGAAAAGTAGGAAGAAAGATAATAATGGTGAAGAATATAGGAGAGAAAATGTTATTATAAAATAACTAACAAAAAGAAGAACTAAAAACTAAAATTTAGTGTCAATGAGGTCTAGCCCAGTTAAAAAGGCATTGACTTGCATACCAGTGGTTTCAGGTTCAAACTTCATGGCACCTTGATTGATAGTGTTGTGGAAAACCCCTAACGCATTCTAATCCAGATGCATAAACAGTTTCACCAATATCGCTTGTATAAAAATAAAAAATTTAACAACGTTCTTCTAATGTATCTAATCTCATTTCTTTGCTTCTTTCGATTTTTCATGTTAGGATATTTGGCAATTGAGTTTCTTGAGTGATTCTATTTGTTTTCAACACGTTTTTAGGGAGGCTAATTTCATCCGCGGATGTTGTATCTAATATGGGCCATGGCCTCTTGACTTATGTTGTTTGGGGTTACCCCTTTCTATTGTTTTTTCCTTCTATTGACCTCTTTGAGCTTCCTTACTCCATAGAAGTTTTGTTTTGTAATTTTCATTTACGTATTAAAACAAAAAGAAGATATTTTGTTACCAACCAAAGAGTTTGTACTATAACCGAATAGATAAGTTCACATCAAACGAGAATATCAGAAGCCAAACCCAAATAAAAATAGCCGTAAATTGCCTTTCCATGTCATTCATCTCTATCTCTTTTAAGCAAAAAAAGAAAAACGAGAAAAACAAAAATCCTAGCTAACAGTTCCAATTAATTGAATTTTTGGTTTCTGATTTCAATTTATCATACCCATCAAACGCTGGTTATGGTCAGTGTCCTTTTTCAGCGTGATCCATCAAAGTTTTAAACAAAAATCTCAAAATTAAATTTCCGAAAAAATTAAAATTAATTGGTCTCAAGTCCTTTTCCTCTTTGTCCTTGTGGACCATTTCCTTTCGTCCATCTCATTATAACGCCCCCCGTCTCCGCAATCACCCCACCTTTTCACGAAATTACCTTTTTCACCACTCCTTGAACGCCGCGCCCAGGCCCCACACTTCCACCCTATAAATCTCGACGCAAAGGATTTGCAATTCCCGCACCGATCGAAGCCCAAATCGGTCATTTGAGATCAGAGTGGAGAGAGAAGAGAGAGAGAGAGAGAGAGAGAGTGTGTTTGCAAAAAGACGAGAGTTGTAGAGAGAAAAAGTGGTGTTAGAGAGACAGAGAGACTCGTGGAGGGTCGCTGTGTGCGATGCGTGGAGGGAGGGAGGGAGGGCAGGTGGTGAGTGTCGAGCGAGAGATAGAGTAAAACGCCGAGATCGCGTTCTTGAAAATGGCGGATCATCAAGCTAAAGCCATTAGAGACTGAGAAACAGCTCTTTGCTTTCGTCTTTTTCGCTCTTCAAATCTCTCGATCACCGACTTTCAGGTCCCTTCTCTCTCTCTGTCGCATTGTCTTTAATTCTCTTCGTTTCTCAATTTTCTCTCACAAACCTGCATTGCCTTCAATTCTCTTCGTTTCTCTCTCTTTCATGTTTTGCACGTGCTTGTAACATCACATCGTCACGGGCTAATCATTGTGTCGAATTTGGTTTTTCTTTGTCTTCGAAATTTTATGCATTTTGGTGTCGGTAATTTTGAGCTGATTTTTTTTTTTGGTTTCTTGTGTTGTTGCAGAGATGACAGAGGCGACGAAGGTGTTGTACATAGTGGTGGTGGACGATGAAGCTAAGAGAGAGAAAGGAAAGGAGTCTTTTCGATATACGCGCCCTGTTTTGCAAAGCTCTTTGCAACTCATGGGCTGCAAGCCTCGGCATGCCTTTAAGGTATACACAAAGTTTTTGACTTTTGAATTTATCTTAAATTGTTGTTGAAAAATTTAAAACTTTTGTAGTTATGGGTTGTGTGGTTTTGATGAGGGCGTCCAGAATTTAAATTCCAGGAGGAAGGGTGTATTTTGGTTTTTGAATTTATTACTGTGAATAGCTTTGGAAGGTGTTTGTGGGGTAGATCTGCGTTTGCTTGTAATGCGTTCTGCAAATTTTCTGAATTTCACTTTTCGAAGTCTTCAACGATACATTGTATTGTGTTGAATTTTTTGGTGAAAGAATTCTATTCAGAGTCTGGTCAACGAAGGCTTCTCTGAACTAATTTTTTGTTGGTCTATTATTCTCGTTTGTACAATTGGCGTTCTGTAGAGTGATTCTTATGTGTCAATTTATGGTGCAAAATGTCATTATCACAGACTAAGTCCAGGCGCTTCTTAATTTTTTTAATAAAAAAAGGTGGGTTATGACCGTTATGTTGTTCCTGGGTCGCCTTCGACTTGACCTGTTAACAATTATTCTGCTGGTGGAGCCGTTAGTTTTTATTGTGCTTTAACCATCTTAACTGATGATCTCTCATTCTGTCCTCCATTTACTTTCCAATTTTTCCATCACTTATGGCTTTTTCAGCTCTTAAATTTCAAGAGTTGACTCTGTTAATTGATGGATCTCTCTATTTTGTGCAATAAGCTCTGTTGAGTAAGTTCCAATGGTGTTTCTGCAAATCAATATCTGACTATATATGTCCTGCACTTAATATTAAAATTGCCTGGGGTAGAATATCCCTCATGTTCCAATTGCCTGGGTAGGGTTTGTTTTGCGTGAGAAATCCCTTGAACTTTGTTCACATGCTTTCAAGTGTCCTCCAGTTCTGTGAATAGCCAAGAGGTTGAACTGTGTTATGGAATTATATTCCAATTTGTGTTATTAACAGTTTATAGTGTGTTTCTTCTGCTTGTGTGTATCTCACTGAACCTGCTTGGATATGTAGAACAGTTCTTTCTGTTGTGTTATGTTAGTTTTGGAACATTAGTTTATTCACTTTTCATTAATCTTGGGCCTGCATGGTTTTTCGGAAAAGTCCAATACCAGCAACGTCTTGGCCATTGTTTTAGAAATGTCTACATTAGCTGATAGGTTCAGTCAAATTAATCAGCTGTTTGTTCCAGTTGTCAGGTTGTTTTACCTCACAGTAGTACTCCATGATAACTCTGGTGCTCTAGTTTGGTTCTTCATTACATGATTTCTTTACTATGTTATGTTGTCAGTACGATCTTTATATATTTTATACCTTAGAGTTCAGGCAGGTCATTTGCTTCATTATTAGAATAATAATATTTCTGGTGAGTTGTCATGTTTCCTTCATACGTAACTTGACTGATTCCAATGTTTTATTTTACTTGAGAAATGTAACCACTAAAGCCATATATATTTTTCTTTGATCAGATTAGCCAGCGGGTTTTCGAATTGATAAGAAACGAAAGCTCATCTAGTGTATTGCTTCCAGAAGGAACAGAAAATGTTTCCCCTAGTAAAGCTGAGGCTTGCAAGCATTTTGTTTCAGGGAAGGATGACAGCAATAAGAGTGTTCCATTTGAATTGTACAAAATACGCACGACTGTTGTTGTTACGAGAGAAACTTTCTTAGATGTTGTTTGTGATGCTTTGGCTGAGTACAAGTATGTCGGTCCCAACCAGAGGGCGGACTTAGCTTTGGCATGCAGGTACGAAGAAGTCTTGCATCTTTATTGAAAATACATGTACTTTATTTACATATATTCATTTAAAAGTGCAATCTGGGAATCTGTGGTCGCATTCTGGCTACTTATTTCACATGCTGTGTCATCAATTTGCATTTCATTAAAATATGGAAACACATGTTTAAAGCTGTAATTGTGTATCATATTAACATTAGTGTAAGAATTATTGTATTTCTTATGGAACTTTTATGATAACAGTGACATCTGTGGACGTTTTCTGTGGTTACATATTTCAAGGAAAGAAGTCCGTATTGTTATATCATCCTGAAAATTTACTAGTGGCATAACAATTGATTAATTAAGTGATGCAGCAATCATTATAGTTTTAGATTATTGATGAAAATAAGGGGATTTTAGTAATGCAGCTGGAACAAGAAGATGAACATTAATGAAATGTTCAGTATTTCTCTATGGCCTTGTGATGTGGAGTCATTTTCTGTGTTGTTTATTGCATTCTTTTGAGTTATAAATTCCTGTCTTTGTTCTGTTATTTTCCTAATTTCACCAGAATATTTTTTCCTTACAGAATCCGTGAAAGGAAGGAATCTGTGACTGTACTGTTGTGTGGCACTAGTGGCTGTGGAAAATCTACTTTGTCCTCATTGCTGGTATTTGAGTTCATCCATTCTTTGTTTTCATAATTTCCTTTTGATTTTTTTTTGGTGTTAGCTTTTGTTAGTTAATCTGACATAATATGATGTAATATGTGTCTTCATTGTGATTGTCTATATGTAGCCATTGTCTGATAGTCCAAGTTTTGTATGATGAAAATCAATAAGAATAAAAATTTGTGTGCTGCTATGGGTTTTGGGTGTAATCCATAAAGTCTTGCAGGGTAGTAGGTTGGGAATCACAACTGTGATATCTACTGACTCAATTCGGCACATGATGAGGAGTTTTGTGGACGATAAACAAAACCCTCTGCTCTGGGCTTCAACCTACCATGCTGGGGAGTGCTTGGATCCAGTGTCTGTTGCAGAAGCAAAAGCCAAAAAGAAAGCCAAAAAATTAGCTGGAACTTTACACTCACTTCCCAAAGATGGAATGCCTGATGGCTCTGCCTTTGGGAAATCTGATACCCGGATGTCAGATGTTGGTTCGAGTACTGCTGAATTGATCAGTCCAAAGCAGATGGCAGTTGAAGGGTTTAAAGCACAAAGTGAGATGGTGATTGACAGTCTTGATCGGCTTATCACTGCATGGGAGGAACGAAGAGAATCAGTTATTGTCGAAGGTGTTCACCTTAGTCTTAATTTTGTGGTATGTACTACCTATAGTTCTCTTTCCCTTTGTTGTTTCCTTGTTTAAATATATTCTTGTTCTTTTATACTTGTTATCTCTCCCTCTCTAAATAATTCTTTGAATCCCAGATGGGGCTTATGAAGAAACACCCTTCTATCATTCCATTCATGATATACATCACAAATGAGGACAAGCACATGGAACGATTTGCCGTTCGTGCAAAGTATATGACGCTGGACCCAGCAAAGAACAAATATGTGAAATATATCCGAAACATCAGAACAATCCAAGAATATCTCTGCAAGCGAGCTGACAAGCATCTTGTCCCCAAAATTAACAATACTAATGTTGACAAGAGTGTGGCAGCCATCCATGCAACCGTCTTCAGTTGCCTGCGTAGGCGTGAAGCAGGGGAGCAACTTTATGATCCCCCAAGAAACACAGTTACTGTAGTGGATGAGGAGTACAGGAACCAGTGTGCAGCCAATTCTTTGAGTTCTAAGGGGATGTTTCAGCTGATCCAGAGGAAAGGTTCAACTAGGCATCTGATGGCTCTTGTAAATACTGATGGATCTGTGGCAAAGGCATGGCCTGTTGATTCAGTTGATAGGAATGGGAAGCCTATATTTTGCCATGGGACTGACTTGGAGATTGGCAGTGCAGAGCAAGTAAATCTTCAGTTTGGTCTCTATGGGATCAGTGCTTGGCCCAGTGATGGTGGCCCGAGTTGTGCTGGAAGTGTGGATGAGTCGAGGGCTGATGGAACTGAGATTGGAAGAAGTCATCCCTCTTCTTGCTGCAGCTCGCCACGGATATCTGAGGGGCCTGCCAAAGAGGTACTTTTGAACACCAATTTTAATTGTTCCGTGGGAAAAAACTCTTACCTATCATTTTTTCCTCAACTGTTCTACTTACTGTTTTTCTTCTTCAATTTTTTATTGTTTTCTTTTCCTTCAGCTGAAGGAAGAAAATTCAGTGCATGGAAGTGATGAAGAGGTTGATGAAGAGGCTGATGCAGGCAGTGATGAGGAATTAAGTGATGATGGTGACAAACAGGACTATGAAGAGGTATTAATTGCTTTTGTTTTAGATTATTATTAGTTTACACTGGAAGCTGAAGAGATTAGGACAACTTGAATTTTATCAGCTTTTTGCATCTGATAACTCTGCTTGCCCCAGAAATATATTAGGATCATATAAATATTTATACACACACACGTGTGTGTCTATATATATATATATATATATATGTTATAGAGTGGTGATTTCCCCACTCCAATTTTATCCACTTACACTCCATTTTATAACTAAAAAAGAAGTGTAAGTGGATAAAATTGGAGTGGGGAAATCGTTACCCATGTTATATACAGATAATATAAATTAAATGAATGACAGACAGCTTAAAATGAGTGGATAATTGGTCTGACCCAGGCTAATAAATTTGTGAACTTTGGATCTTTACACTGTTATAATCCTGGTCACGTCAGATGAGAGTCTGAACTCTACTTTTACGTCAATTAATCGTTTACTTTAAACTTCATACTATCTTGCAGATAGGGTCAGTGGATGAGGAGTCTACAAAATCGGATGAAGAGTACGATGACCTTGCAATGCAGGACGTGCAGGGAAATGGATACTGGTCAGGGGAGGAGAAGAGAGGGGACAATCCTAAGATTTTCCCTGTTTCCGATGATCAATCAGCTGATAAAGAAGGGGATAAGTATCGCCAGAACCTGGATCTTTTCCTTAGAACTAGACACCAATCATTTTCTGAACCATTGTGCTCATACTCATCTTTATTCTTGGAGAAAAATGAGATAACAATGCCGTGCTCTGGCAATGTGAAAATTAGAAAACGACGTTCCCTTAGCATTCCAGCCTTGGGAAGGCATGGGTCAATAATCAGGGGTCCCATACTTTCTGGAGCCCCTCAGTGCTAGGACAACTATTTTGTTGAAGCTTTAGTGTTCTCATATCCTTGCCTTTTTCTCCCTTATCTATGTTTAGCCTCCTTTTGTAGAGTAATTAGGTAACTTAAAATCTTCCCCATCTGTACAGTAATGCTTTTAGGCAGTTGCAGTGGAATGGATCTAAAATGTATTTTTGTTTGGTACTGTTGTTTGAGCATTGGATGCATCTGTTAGCTTTGTTAGAATGAGAGCATGATTTTAGGGTAGTTTTGAATATGGGGTGCATTCTAACATGATTTAAGAGTTGTATGCTAGCGCTATCTATGGTTGGGTAACCAACCTGCCTTTCATTATTCTTTCTAACAGGGATGGAATCGGTTGTTTTTTCAATCTCTGTTCAAGATGTATTGGCCCACTATTCACCAAGTTGCTGAGGCCAGCAAGGGGAGGAGTTGCATCTGGCTGAGAATGGGAATATAGAGATCCAGCAAACAATAACACAATCCGGCTTCGGTAGCGAAAGTGCTTCTCCACTCTTTCAGTAGAAGATGGGGAGATAGTTTTGGTTTTTATTGCTCCACTTGTTCACGAATCATAAGTGAAAGATTTTTTTTTTTCATTTGACCCTATATAACTTGGTTTATGGCCGATGCATTGCTTTCTTTCCTGTAAAAAAGCTGGTTGAAAAGTTCCATAACTAGGTGAAAACTAGGGCTTTAGGCTCGTCTCCAATCGAATCCCCAGAAGAAGCTAGATGGAGATCCCTTACTAACTGAAAATATCGTTTTGTTCACACAAAAAAAACTGAAAATACCGTACGTCCTTAATTTACTATTTCTCACTCAAATTTCAGAGTACTGCAAGCACTGTCCGCAACCCTATAGCAAGTGAACAGTTTGGTAGGGGATGCAAGTGTTCCACACATCCTCTGCAAGGGCTTCACTTTCTAAGCAGCTTCCCCCTTCTAGAGAAGGGATCATAGAGACTTCTTACTTTTATTAAGTTCATACGTGTATTGTATGTTAGGCTTGCCCTCACTAAGTTAGCACTTATGGTATGCTTACTTATTATGGTATGCTTACTTATTTGAAATGGGAAAAGTCGTGAATCAGGAAGTTACAAATAGGGGAGAGGATGAATGGGTATGGGATCAACTACTTCCTCCTAATCAATTTAGTTTTTGGTTTTTCATGTATTGAAATAAGAATTTTAATGTGGAAATGACATAAATTTTATTCTTTTATGTGTTAGTATGAAGTCAAGGATTTGAATCATTTCAATATCCATGCGCTAGTAAACACATGGAAAGTCGGGAAGTGAAAGAATTCCTATAACAATGAACACATGGAAAGTCGGGAAGTGAAAGAATTCCTATAACAATGATTCATCCCATTAGTTATTCCAGCGCGCTGTTGGATATGCCACTACAAAAAATAGAGAGGGAAATGGGGCTTGGCCGTTTTAGAAGCGTAACAAGCATGAAGCATGAATGTTCTGCATGTATTTCTATTTGAAGTCTCTCAATATAAAGCGTCATCTCTATCAGCCCTAAAGATCGCTTCAATTTCGTCCAAAAAAAAACAGATCGCTTCAAAGTGCCATATCTTATTTGAGGTGATATGGCCGTTTTAGGCAATCTACTTTATACTTTTCTTTACTTTCAAAACCCTTCTCTCTTGGTACTGGGAAATCTTACAAGATTATAGGCTAAGGTGTGCATGATGCTCCCAAAGATTCTCTCTAAAGGGCAAAGTAGAGGAGGAAATTGCAGTCTCAGGCTGGACATGGTGAAAGCCTAAGACCTTTCATAGTGGGATTTTTTATATTTTAATAATGTTATTTTATATTGTTTTATATAAATATATTAGACTTGGTTGTTGTGAGTGCTTTGTGAGGAAAAAAAAACACTTGTGCTACAACATTACTTCAAATAGGACACTGTAAAAATAAACCATACCTTCCTGTATGCTGCTTGATAGGCTTTGGTGCAATCCTTTTTCTGTTCTGCTTTGGTAACCACAAGACAGTCTCTCTTTGAAAAACTATGCAGATTGGTGTAGATTTACAGCATTTTGCGAGCCCAATTCCCTCTTGTTTGTATACTTCAATCTTCAGTTGAGGCCAATTTGAAGAAAGAAATTGGAGAGATATGTAGATAGTTGAAGCAACCATGAAACCTTGGTTGGGAAGGGAGTACATTACCTTTCAAGTTTGACAGGAGACGATCCTTGGAATATTCGCTCTATCTCTACTCTACTTGTCCTTCATTTGGCATAGCTTTAAATACAAGACAAACCAAATTTATCACTCTATTTATTTATTCAGCCTCAAATTCCAGTATATCCCTGTGAGATATGGGCTTGGTTTATTTATTTATTTATAATTTTTTTTTTATACAAGCGATACTAAAGGAGAAGAGATTTGAACTACTCTGAACTACTTGAGTTATAAGCACTCTGTAATATGGGCTGAGTTATATATTTTGTTTGTCGATGTTTGTTTTATATCATTTCAGCTACAAGTTCCTTACTCTTAAAAATAATAATAATAAATAAATAAAAAGAAATTTTCCAAGTAATTGTAGACAATTCCTACACAAATCGAGACAAAATTTGCGAGGGGTTAACTTCCAAGGTTTGGAAGTGTAAAATGATACGGATACCTTCAGGTTGACTTACCAAGCATAAAAACCCAAATTACCTTAGTGGGTTATTGGTTTTATTAGTCCCTAAATTTAGACCAGATTTGTATTTGAGTCTCTCAATTTCTAAAATCGTTCTTGTTGTCTTGCAACTTCAGTTTCGTTAGGACAAATGGTCATACTGTCAATTTTGTTGGCTTTTCTGTTAAATGCAGAGGTAAAATGTATTTATATATTTATATATTTTAAATTTTAAATTGATTAAAATATGAATAAAATATTTTAAAAAACAAAAAACAAAAAATTCATGTTTTTAGGAATAAGAACTAATTTTTAATTTTTTGTTTGACTGAGGATAGGAATAAGATTTTTTAATTTTTAGTTTCTAATTTTTTATTTTAATTTTTGGGTGAAAGGAATATTTAAAAATTCGAAATTAAAAATAATACAAAAATACCATTTTACCCCTGCATTTAACAGAAAAAAGTTAACAAAATTGACGGCATGACCAATTGTCCTAACGAAACTAAAGTTGAAGGACCACATAAACAATTTTGGAAATTGAGGGACTCAAATACAAATCGGGTCAAAGTTCAAAGACTAATAAAACGAATAATCCTAGATCAGTTGTTGATACAAGTTGAATGGTGTTGCATTTGAGCCAGAGATAGTCCAATGCCAACCAGAGCTTTAGTGCACAATTCTAATTCTTTAAGGCCCGTTTGGTTCACGGGAAAGGAGGCTTGGTGATGAGAAATCAATTGCTTTCTCATATTTGGTAAGTACAGGTATGAGAAATGGTTGTCTGACACATGAGAAAGTAGGGGGGAAAGTGAAGCCCTCCTTTCAACTTGGGTTTTGTTTTCCCTCATCATAGAAAAGTTTGGGAAAATGAACTAACATTAAATGCACATTTTTTATAACCATTTTGTCTCTATTAAAAATTTAGAATTGCAATATATCATTAAATGCATTCTTTTTTTATTTGATTTAATATTGGTATAATTGGAAAATTATACAAACTATGTTTTTCATTCATACTCAAAACAAACATGGGAAATGAAATAAAGTGATATCTCCTGGTTACTTTCCCAGCATTACCAAACGTGAGAAATGAATCTTCCATTTTCCATCCATTGAGAAATGACATGAGAAGTGATTTCCACTCAAATTCATTCCGTGAACCAAACGGGACCTAAAGTTCATAGGATTGACTACGAGAGCTAGCTTTTGCGTACCTTAGACCGAAGGAAATGGTGAAATAGCTTTCGGTTTTCGGAGGCTGCATGAAAGTTTGAACTTTGGGAGAGAATTTCTAAAGCCTCCCACAACCTCCATTTATAGTGGCAATGTGAGTTGGAGGGATAGAGTTCATACCCAACTCAAATTAAGAGTCAGGATGTATAAGTCAGACTAGGGTTGATCGACATAGGATGAGGGAAGCAGCACAGAGCTACTACAACATATCATACAAGAAGGAAATTTGGGATAGTCAAAATTCCTTTCTTAAGACAAAAGGTTCACTTCATCTTTTATGTGGCAATCATTACCAAAACAAGTGAAAATGAAACAAACTTGGCAAAAATTAAAAGTGCAAACGGAAATGGAGAAACCATTTACCATAAACCAGATATAGCTCACTACAGTCGTTCAGGGGGAAAAGAGAGCCTAAACTGGCAGAACGAACTTGTGCATTGCAAAAGTTGATCGGTTTAATTGAATACAAAAATTCAAGTTCATCTTTCTGATTTAATATTACAACACTTCCAAAGAATGTATAACTTCAGAAGAAATCCTTTCATTGGTGATAGTATAGTGTTCAGATCAAATCCTAAGGGTGTACAATCCTTCAACAGAAAAAATCGTAAATTTCCCCAAGAAAATTTGTAAACCCCCATGAACTATACCATGAACTAAATGGCAGACCACAGTTCACTGCTCATCATTCAATTTGAGTTCGAATCACTTTCTTTCCAGCCATCCAGACTTTGTAACCCAATAAAACAGCCAAGGACAGGGGACATATTCATTGCAGCTTTAATTTTACAGTGGGCCATTTTATGGGTAAATTAACTTGTTCTCCCATATATTGCCGAATTGAAATTGCAGCTGCTAACTGTGATCACACAGAAGAAGTTACTCTTAAGAACTCTTCTTCTTTGGAGCTGTCACAAGCAGAAATGATTACCACAATTAGAATAAAAGCCGCGAAAAAAGAATGTCTCTCACAGATATTGAAATCATGGTCTGGATCAAGCATGATCCTTAATCCTCACCCCTCACTGAGCTTCTGAGCTTCATTCTCCCATTTTCCTCCCCCTAGCCCCCTGTCATCTCATCTCTTCCTTGAATGGTAGCTTTCCCCAATTTTCTTCATATATTGGCAAAGTAGAGAAGCTCCCTATTTTAAGTTGTTGCACCTGTCTAATTAATTAGGTCCGGCATCCTCATTTGCTTCCTCAGCCTGATTCAATTTAGATAATCCATTTACTGTCTCTTTACACCCAGACAAATCAGCATTAAAAGCTTTTTTCACCATCAATGCCTGCAACTGAAAAGCTTCATCAGCCATCCCTTTGTTGCAAAGACCATCAATCAATATATTCAAGATAACATTGTCCAATTCAATCCCCTTCTTCTGCATCTCATTTAAATATTCCATTGCCAGCCCCAGCGCCCCAACCTTGCAAAAACCATTTATTAGAGCCCAGTACGTATCAGCATTCTGGAATGTACTTCTCTCAGCCATCTTACGAAATAAAGAATGAGCACTTTCCATAGACCCCAATCTACAATAGCCATTTATTATCAAATTGTATGAATGAGTGTTCACTTTCAATCCTTTATCATGCATCTCCCCAACCAACCTTTCAGCTTCTTCAACCTTTCCAGAACTCGTGAACCCATCAATCAAGAACTGATACGTCTTGATATCGAATGCCACTCCTTCCTTTTCCATCACAAGCAATATCAGATCCAACTCTGGAAAGTTCCATCTCTTAGCACAAGCATCCACAATTGTGTTGAATGTAATGATATTGGGTTTAGGTCCTATTCTCACCATTTCCTCCACTAACTCTCTACTCCTTCTAATCTCCCCACTCCTACACAGCCCATCTACCACAACTGTCAAAGAATATACTGAGACCTTAGTGCCCGATTCGAGCAATCGATAAAAGAAATCTAAACACTTCTGCACCTCATCTCTCCTGTTGAGAGCAAGCAAATGCACAGTACAAGTCCTCTCATCAATCTGAATCCCATTACTCTTCATAAAATCAAGAGTCTCCAAAACTTGGTTGAAACTTTCACTATCCGAATAAACTTTAATCATCAAATTGAACAATTTCGCTTTGACTCTAGGTTCAAGACAGCAAATTTCAGCAGCAGAAGCAATAACAGAAAAAGGGTACCTGGAATTTTCATCAACTGAGATACATTTGAAAATTTCCTCAGCTTCAGTGAACTTTCTTGCCTTGAGAAGCCTGCAAATGAGGGTTAAGTGGGCATGGAGGTCAATCTTGAACGAGATAAAGGACTGGTTTTTTAGGAGGAAGTTGAAGAAAAGCAAGCATTTGGAGCATTTGAATTTGGGGTCTGAGAGAATGAGGTTGAGAGAGTTGGGTTTGAGCTTGGAGAGGAGGGATATGGTTGTGGTATTGAGGGGTTTTGAAGTTACAGTTTTTGGGGTTTTAGAAATTAATTCTATGAATTCTTGATAGGGTCTGGCGGGTGTTCTTTTGACAGTATTGAGGGTTCTGAGGACGTTCTGGAATGACATTTTTGATTTGGAGATTGAAGTCTCAGGATTATGTTTATCGTTTCCGGTTGTTTTTTGTGTTGATTCTCAGCATCGGTTTGGGCCTCTGTTTGCCTGTCTGTGTGCTTTGTTCGGCCTTTGGGCTCATTTTTGCTAGTTTCTGCTTGTTTTGTGAGTTCTTCTGTGCATTTAACAATGTTGATCATTTTTAAATTCTCTGTGGGTCAACTATAAATAAATAAATTGAAGTGTTGAGTTTGTAACGGGCACTTGTAGCTAAGTGATTAAGAGCATTTGGGCCCGAAATTTCGTTTTTAAGTCCAAATTCCCAAATATTGCTTGAATAAAAATTTGTTGGGTTCGTTGAACAAATTGTTGTGTGAATATTTGCGCTCTTCTGGGCTTTATGCACATCTTCTTATTAGACCTGCTTTTGGTGTGGCCTTGTCTTTTTTTTTCGCGAGGGGGGGTGGGGGGGGGTTGGTTTAGGATTCAAGTCATTCGGGGGATGTATTCATTAAGAAGAACGTATAAATACATATTTTGTAGCGGTTGGACAAAAATGCCTTTATTCATTTTTAGATTGTCTAAGGAGTTTCTTCTTTTCAGATTGTGCCAAAGAAGACCTTGCTTCTTGCTTCTGTATAGTGCCAAAACTTGGATCACTTCAATGCAATCTTCTACTTTTCAGTTTTTGTGTTTTTGTCAATAATACTGTCCCTTCATCTAATTTATTTCAATTTCATCGGCAAAATAAATGAAAGAGTAAATTCTCTTAGACTCTCTCGAACTAGGACTCCAATCGAACTTAACCCCATGAACTAAAAAAATCAACCAATTTAACATCTGAATTAATTAAAATGACCAATTTAACACTTGCCGTTAAATTTTATCACATTTCATCCAAAAGGCAGTCAGAAATGGCACGTGAGACACATGTGCAACATAATTGGAGGGCAATATAGTCATTGTCTCAATATACCCATCATTGTAGACAGTTAAGAAGGAGAAGAAGAAGAAGAGGAAGTGGTTTGAAGATGCGAAGGAACATGCATGTTCAGCCAAGTCCAAGTCGAGCACGTGGATTGGATCACAAAAGTGGAGATAGCAGCGGCCTTGTTCAATGGGGGTTTTACAGAGAGAGACACAATTGTTCAATTGGGGGTTTTCTGAAGCCTCTCTCTCTCTCTCTCTCTCTCTATAAGTCCATATGCCTATGGAAAACGTTGAACTTGGAGCTAGTAACCAGTTCGCGATGTAGCTTCTATATCCCGTCGTCGTCGGCCTGGTGGGAGCGGATGTGAGTAAACCAAAACGACGACTAATGGTGGTCCCGCGACCTCAAAGCCTTCTATAAGCTTCGGGAGTGGAAATCGTCGCCGGCCCAAAGTGAAAGACTTTCTTTCGCCGATTCAACCGGAGCAGAAGCAGCAGCGGCTTCGGTGCTGGCCATCGATTGGGGGTTTTCTGAAACCTCTCTCTCTCTCTCTCTCTCTCTCTCTCTCTCTCTCTCTCTCTCTCTCTCTCTCTCTCTCTGTGTAGAAGTCCCATACATATGGCCATGGAAGACGTTGACTTGGAGCCATATGACCATTTAAGACGTGATTGTTGCTTGCTGTGTCGAAATAGCCCTCTGCTTTTGTTCCACGTGCACCGCACTTGACATTATTGACGGAATTGTGGATGAAATATTATAAAATCTGAGTGCTGCTAAACGAACATTAAAATTAATTGAGTACATCCTATGATCTAAGTACACTATAATATTTTAATTAAAATATAAAATTAACTAAGTACACCCTATGAACTATCAAAAATACCTCTGATACACTCTAATACTTGTAGCATTATTTTTGTCGTAGTGGAGATATTGATAAAGCATTTGCTGTTGAGAAACACATGTTGGAGCATGGTGTCTATCTAGAAGAGCCTGAAACTAGAGGCCCTCTTACGAGTGAGTGTAAGAGTCGGTAAAGGTGACAAGGTGTATTATATGCTGCACAAACTAAGAACAAGTGTAAGGAGGGTCTCACCGTCTACTGCCAATTTAATTATGAACTGGTTTCATAGCAAAGAAGCTGCAAGAGTTGGAAAAATAAAATGGGATCCAAGATTGATAAGGGAGGCAATTGAGAATGGAGGTGGGGGCTGGCATGGGCAGGGTTGGTTGGGAAAGGGAAAATGGTCTGTGTTGCATACAACTATTGGAGCTGATGGCTTGTGCAAATGCTGTGGGGAAAAATTGGCCACAATTGACCTTGATCCTGTAGAAACAGAAAACTTTTCTAAATCCATTGCATCTATAGCTATAAAGAGAGATAGCATCTATTCTTGTAGCATTATTTTATAGTTGATTTTCAGCTTAATTTTTTTAATAGTGTTTATAAATCTTTGACTTTTCATATGGATTTATGTTTCTACTAAAACTGTTGACACTTTTCTTGCAATTTCAAGTTCTTGCAATCACTTTATATGGTTAGTAGGGTGTACTTATTAAAATTATATTTGTTTCACAATTCCATATATCTTTTTTGGTCATTTTATATTAGGGTAAATCTGTAATATATACTTTTATAGTAGGGTGTACTCAGTTAATTTTAGGGTTCGTTTAACAGTACTCTAAAATCTAAAGGCATTGTTAAAAGGGAGATTCACTAATATACCCAATATAGGAGCCCAAATTATAAAAAAAACCCTATATGAAATGGAATTTATAAATACACCCAAAGCCCTTTTATAACATAACAAAAAGGCTTTTAACTTCTTTTAAATTACAAAATTGCCATTGATTTCTTAAAACAACCCAACCCAAAATTTCATAAAAAAACCCAAAACACTCAATAGGGTATCAAAGTAATTTAATAATTAAAATTAAATTTAATAGTACAATTTGTCATTTTTTGGGTTTTTTTTGGGTATGTTTATAAAAATGAAATGATGTAGGGTTTATTTATAGTTTTAGTGCTAAGAATGGGTATATTACTAAATATCTCTTGTTAAAATTGGCTGCTTTTTTAATTCAGGGTGTTAATTTCTATAATGGTCATAGTTGAGAGGTTAAAACGACTGAAAATCCTAAATGAAAATCCCTAAGACTTCAAAGTTATGTCATCGCTACGGGACACTTCTTTTGCATATGTTGCTCATATAGTTGAACTGTGATGCAGTGTGAATATAAAGTAGAGTTACCTGGCTTGCCACATACACAATTCATCAAATATCAAATTTACTTGAAATTCCTATCAACTAGCTTTTGATTTAGTTGTATTTTTTATTTTAATGTTGAAAAATATCTCAAGTTCATATCTCACTTCTCTAATTGATAAAAACAAAATAACAATTCGAGGATGCCTTTCGAATTCAAATCTTGATGTGTCTCTTATGTTACCTATCTAAAATGAAGTAAATAATGGGATTGGAGTTTCGTAGCTAAAATGTAGAATCTCCAGTGAGCTAGCCAAGAAGAAAAATGTAAAAAAAGATAAACCGCACTACATTTGTTAGGGATCAAGAGAGAGTGACCTAATTCCAACCCAAAATCAATTAGCAATGGCGAGAGTGACCCAGTTCCTTATAAACCTTTGCAATGTTTCTGAACTTTCTGATGTGAAAAAATACTTCACATCCTCACATCAGCCTCGAAACTTTGTCCCCCTCTTTTTGTTCACAATTGAACTCTATAACTTGAATCCTGGTTGTTGCAAGTATTGAAGTGTAAGTGTGTTTTTCAATAATACCAACAAAGGAGATGGTATTTCTTTTAAAGCCTTGTTGAAGGGAAAAATAGGATCAAAATCTTTATATAAAAAAACAGGGGTCTATAGAGCAAATTTAGGATTTAAATGTAGGTCATTGAATATATATCAACAGGTTGGTGCATGAATCATAAGAGCATTTCCATTTATTTGTCATGACAAAAGGTAAGAGCTGTTACTATTCACATGGATGGCTAACAATTTTTTTTGTTGGTTTTTCACTTATTGTCATGGCAATCCAAAGGCACTATTCACATGAGATATGAGGAGATGAATTTGTATAGAGTTTTGGTGTGAGAAGTGAAAAATATGGCTAGGTATATATAAATTTAAAAAAAATTTGAAAAATTTGGTATTTTTTTCCTTTATAAATTTTTTTGGTTACTTAAATACAAATTTATAAATAAACCCAATCCTAGACATGTATTTATAAAAAAACCCAAGCACTATTTAAACATAGAAACACACCCAAAATCAACAATTGTATATTTTTTGGGTGTGTTTATAAATGGGTTTTGAGTGTGTGTAATGATGGGTTTTGGGTGTGTTTATAAAGTGTTTTGGGTATTGGGTTTTTTTATAATTTCAGCCCCCATTTTGGGTGTTTTAGTGAAACTCCCTTATTTAAATTGGTTGCTGATGTCACAATGACATCAGCATCAGCATTAGGTTAACTTGTCTAGGAAAATCTTGCTTTTGGGCTTGCCCGAATTAGTGGAGCCCAACTCTTATCCTGACAAAACTTGAGCGCTGAAACCCGAATGGGGGGGCCCTAAGGCCTCTTGCTCGAGCTGAGGCCTCAACTGCTCTGACAAGACACAAGCTTCTGTCTACGACAAATAATAGTTGGATTTTGTTGTCCAAGGAGATCTGTTGCATGCGACCCGAGATGGTCCTTCAGCTGCGTACATGTCTGCCACATGTACACCTACCGGGTGGCATCACTTGGACCACCTTGTACGACCATGGAGACCACTTGTGCTTTTGGGCTTTTCCACTATGCATGAACACAGCTACTATAGTTTTAATGTTAACCCACAAATTAAGAAAAAAGGACTGACATTCTGAGATACTATGCTTAGAAATTTGGATGATTTCGTATTCCGTTCAATGATCCGAAATGTATTACTTCATTTTATTGGAAGTATTTGGAAAAAAAAATTGGATTCGACATGAATGCTTGGACCACCGATTGCTAGGACCACTAATTATAGTACATACGAAATGAATTTCAAATGACTCATACTCAAATTTTGGCGCACGTAC